TTATCTTCACCTTTATCGGTATAATTTTCAATGGCTTTTTTTAAATAGTCAATATTTCCTCTCAAAAACATATCACCAGAATTACCTTGCTCAATTGCTAACATTTTAGCAGGATATTCTGTTTTTTCAATTGTAAATCTATTATAAATGTTGGCAAGCCGGCGCATTGAGCACCTAACTGATTTCTCAACCTCCAACTTTTTATCAAACCTTCTTTTAATTTTACCATACAAGCGAGATCCTATCATCAAAATAATGCTATCACTTTTAGCTAGCGTGCCAATTTCATCGTTATTTATGACATTTAAAATATTTAACTTGAAATCATTGTCTAAAGAATTATATTTATCTATTTCCCCAATTGCAATAGATGGTATTAAGGCTTGACAAGAATCTTCACCGCATTTTATCTGATGTCTGGTTTTATAACTCTTTGCAAAGAAACCTTTGCATTTTAAGCACATTAGCAAGTTGTTTGAATTTAAGAATTTTTCAGATTGCATATTTTTTTTGGAACGTTGTGCTCTTTCCCTTAGAAACTTTGGATTACTGTTTTGGACTTCATTTAAGTTAAACTGATGAATCCCTTGTTTTTTAAAAGAATCAAATGCTTTACGACGCTCTATTTTAGACAATTTAAAAGCCTCACATATTCTAGGATCACTTTTATGTGTTAGAAAATGTCTTGAAAGTGCTGATTGATGCACACCACATATAAAACAAGGTCGCTTTGGTTTTGGATTACTTTTTTTAGATAGTTTATTGATTTCGTTTTTTGGTCTCACATGTGAATTGTTTAGTTGTCTAACCTTAAAACAAATGAATTAACTAAATATAATAACATTAAATAATAAATAATAACTATTATTAAATAGTATATGAAAAAAAAATTAACAACAAAACTTAAAATCAAACGAAAATTTCCACTAACTGCAATAAAATAAGACTAACAAAAAACAAAACAAATAAAATTGATTATTAATAAATAACTTGATAGTAAACACTACTAAAAATATATTTATTATTACTTTAAAACATCCAAATTTAGGATGTATATACATTTCTTTTGAATTTACAACCAAATTTTAAAAAACTCAACCTTTTCATCAGATGAGCTGTTGTTTGACTTAGAAGGTTCTGTAGTTAACAAATCTTCATATAATACTTTATTTGTATCTTTTACCAAAGCATGAGACTTAAAAAAAAATAACAAATAACAGTGAAAAACATAGATAACTATTAACATAGATACTATTCAATAATAATTTTTTTAATTAAAGTTTATTTTTTTTTAATCTAACTTGAAAAGTTTGCTTTACTTGAAAAAAAAAACTTGCCATTTTACATTAAAAAGTGTTTAAGATTTAAAATGATAAAATCAAAAAAAACCTGATATAACACAGGTATATGTGTTGATAATGTATAAGGATTAATCGTTTTTACAGACAAATTTTTGTTTTTTTTATTATTTTTTATTTTCTATACTTCTTTAGTACATACCCCATGTCAAACAGTTTTATTCTTGATTTTTTCAAGTAAGATCTTGAATACTATTTATTGTAGACTGGCAAGACTTGTTTTTTCTTTATAAACACTTAAATAACTTTTAAAAAGTTTAATTTCAGGCATATCCGTCAAAAATATCTGGTACACCTTTAGTTTTGTAAGCAATTCTACAGCTGCTGAGTCTCGCATACCATTTTTCACACTTAAAATTGCTTTTTTAAACTTTTATTGTACAAAATTATATCAAAATTATAACTTATTCTAAAGCAGATCTTTTAATTTAACTTAAAAAATTTTAATAAAAAATTTATTGAAAATAAACTGTGACTTATAATAACAAACTTAAAAAAACATTATTACAACAAAATCAATTTCATGATTTGTGCTACAGTCATCTGTCTCTTCTCCACTTTCAAAAATTTCAAGGTCTTCATCGCACATTAAACCAGAATCGTTAATAATAGATTTCTAAATATGATATATGAAATATTTAATTAAGAAAGTACTATGTTAAAAAGCTTTACACAAAGGCATTTAATCTTAATCTAAAATTCACAATACTTTTAAGCTAAAAACTTTCTAAAAACCTGGTTTAATGGACCAAGGGATAATGGAAGAAAAACTTCACTCTCATTACTGCACTGATCTTCATCTACATATACACATTTTACTCAAATTATACAAAATGAAAAATAATCATGTTGGAAAAAATATCAACTCATTATTTCAAAAAAATTGTTTTAGATATTTTGAGACTTTGAAATAAGATTACCTGAATCAAAGACAACTAACTTTTTCCAATAGTCAGAGTCTGACGAATGAACTGGCGATGATGTAAACATTCTTAGTTCTGAATTATTATTAATTGTTTTAAATTGAATAACTAATAAAATTAAATGAATAATTATTTTAACAAATATTGAAGTTGTTATTATATTTAATAAATTTTTTTTTTCCAAGGAAATAATAAAAAAAATTTTGTAAAACTTGAAAATTTTATGAATTAAAAAACTTAGATGTTTAGAAATTGCTGATAACAAATTATACAGTTATATCATGTTATATCACAGTTATATCACAGTTATGCTGATAATAATTTACCTGCGTATAATAAATGAAACAGAAAAAACCCACTTGTCAACTCTTACAAGAGGTATTAAAGTCATCAAAAGAAGCAGCTATAACGAGTTAACAATAATTTAGTTAATATTTTACATATAAATTTTATATTGTGTATATCTATATAAGTATATAAATTATACAGTTATATATATATTTATTATATATCTATGATATACTTATAAATATATATTTATTAGTACATTATAGATATAAATAAATGTCTATATAACATGGCTATATAATAATAAGGCTGTATAAATTTTATATTGTGTATATCTATAAAAGTATATAAATTATACAGTTATATATATATTTATCATATATCTATGATATACTTATAAATATATATTTATTAGTACATTATAGATATAAATAAATGTCTATATTAAATATTTCGAAAAATAGAAAAAAGTTTTAAAATAAGATTCTTAAAGTTAGTGCAAAAAAATAAAAAGGTTCAGCTACAATATAAACAAACAATATAAACATACAAAATTTTCAAAATAAAGAAATCAAAACAAAAACATTCATAAAAAAAAACAAGTTTCCGGGAAAAGCGACTCCGCATGGTAAGGAAATTCGTTTGAAATACGAGAAAAATGGAAATGACTTAAAATAAAACTGTATATCTCCTATATTTCATATATATGTTGTATTTGCAATGATATCCGTTAATAAACTCTCAAAACTTTAACTGAGTGACAGAGAAAACATTTTTAACTCCATAACAGCATGATATATACAGTTATACTTCATAATTTTCAAGATATTAAGTGCCGTCGACCTTACGTCGATATTTTGAATTTGTTTACATATATAAGCTTAAAATGAGATATTTAAAAAAATACTTATCGACGGCAGTTAAAAAAAAACAAATTTGTATTTTTAATCAAAAACTACTATATTTCATTGAAATAGAAAAAAAAAACTAATAGGTAAGACTGAATTTGATGAAACTAAGATGAAAAACGTTAGGTCGACTCAATTTTGTCGACTTTCCACTCAAGTCGACTTTCCGTGGAAATTTTTTACACGATTTGGCGACTTTAAGGCGATCTAGTCATATATATATATAGCACCGGCTGATAGGGGAAGAGGGGCGAGGTCGTGCGTTGCACGAGGGCAGCAAGTAAATAGGGGCGGAGAATTTTATAAGTCACAAGTTTTAATTTTCTAGTAGTTTATTAAAAATTTAAAGTAAATTAAATTAGTTAACGACCTTTGCAAAAAAAAAAATACGATTTTAAATTTGAAGACAAAAAATTACTACATTTACTTAATTAACGCACGATTTTCTATTGTAATTTGTAGTACCATTTGTACGTTATTTCCTCTAGGAGTCATTTCAAAAAGTTGCAAAAAATTTTTTGTAAAGAAGTTCAAAAGTTTTTATTTTTTGTTATTAAGTGTTAAGTTGACTCGATTTAAACAATTTTCAGCAAGTTTAGTTACTTTTTTTTTATTTCTTTAATAATTTTATGAATGTGTTTTGAGAACTTTGTTAAATTTTTTTTTTTTTAAATTGTAGAAATAATTTTATCTTAAAAAAGATTCTGTCTCATGTCACATAAAATTTCAAATTCGAGAAAAAAGTTGTCTGGTTATGAGTACAGAAAAAGAAAGTCCGTTAAAGATCAAAAATTTGAAAAAATTAAAAAATTCATGAGCATTGAAAAATATGTTGCTTATAAAAAACCTGACGAAGGTCGTGAAGATTTTAACCCTGATGCTTCAACTATCTCTACGACTATGTCCAATAAAATTGGAGAACCTTCAACAATACTCAAAAATAGTTGTATAACTTCATTGCAAATTGAAGTAGATAATAAACCAATTATTTTAAAAGAATCGAATGATTTATCAGAAGATTTTTTACAAGAAACACCTAATTTATTGGATTGTGGAAATTAGCCAATTGTTCAATCTAGCAACTTTGTGGACCATTTAATCAAACTTGGTCCTTTTCAAATTACAAAGGAAAAATACCCTGAAGATAGAAATAGCCAACATTTTTCTAGCATTTATTACAATAGAAAGCTTGCGAATGGAGAAACCTTTTGCCGTAGATGGTTGGTTTATTCAGATTCTAAAAACTCCGTATTTTGTTTTTGCTGTCTACTTTTTGATAATAATTCAAAGTCAAACTTAGTCTCTGATGGTTTCAAGAAATGGAGACATTTAACTGAAACATTGGGAATTCATGAAAACAGCGTCTCTCATATGAAATGTTATCAACAGTGGGTAGAAACTGAAATAAGATTAAAAACTGGAAAAACTATAGATAATGAAGAAATTAAAATTATAGAAAAAAACGATGGCAAAATGTTCTTCTTCGGCTGATGAATATCACTCTTTACCTAGCTGAAAATAATATGGCTTTTCGAAGGAGTTCGGATAAACTGTTTACGCCTCAAAACAGCAAATTCTTAGGACTAATACAGGCGCTTGCAAAATTTGATCCTGTGATGCAAAAGCATTTAGCACTTGCAATAAAAGGTGACACTTCAGACCATTATTGCGGGAAAAATATTCAAAATGAGTTAATAGATTTAATGTCTCAAAAGGTTAATGATGAAATAATAAACCGAGTCTTGAAAGCCGTTTACTATTCAATCATTGCTGATTGTACACCTGATATTTCTAGAAAAGAACAACTTTCTCTTACTATTCGAATTGTTGACTTGTCGTTAGACATTAGAGTGGAAATTAAAGAGTACTTTTTAGGATTCTTTTCTGTTTCTGATTCTACAGGCTTAGGACTTACTGAGGTTTTAATCGAGTTGCTAACTAAGCATGGACTTGAAATCTCTAACTGCAGAGGTCAAGGGTATGATAATGGATCAAATATTAAAGGAAAGATTAATGGTGTACAAAAAAGGATTTTAAATCTTAATCCTTTAGCATTATATGTTCCTTGCGGCAACCATAGCTTAAATTTGGTAATAAGTGACTCTGCACGGTCTTCAGTAAAATTTATAGCTTTTTTCGGTATTCTTCAGAGATTGTTCACTCTATTCTCAGCTTCAGTGAGCCGATGGAAAATTTTAATTGATCATGTTAAAATTTTGCATTTAAAGAAACTCTGTGACACGCGGTGGGAAGCAAAAATAAGTAGTGTTAAACCGTTCGTTATCAAGTTGGTGATGTACATGACGCTTTGATAGCATTGTCAGAAATTGAAGGATGTAATCCTGAAACTGCACATGAAGCGATAACTCTAGGAGAGCAATTAAAAGATTTAAGCTTTCTTGTCTCTTTAATTGTCTGGTATGACGTTCTTTTTCAAGTCAATATTGTTAGTAAAACTCTTCAAGAAAAAGGCATCACTCAATGTGCAAAGTTATTGAAAAGCTGTTGTTCATTTTTAGAAAACTATAGAAAATGTGGTTTTAAAGATGCAATTATAAAAGCAAAGGATTTGGCTATAGAATTACAAGTGGAGCCTGTTTTTAAACCACTTAAAAGAATAATACGAGTAAAACGCCATTTTGACGAACCAGCCCATGATGGGATTTATTTATTTTCTCCTGAAAAAAAATTAGAAATCGATTTCTTCAATCCTCTTTTAGACACATCTTTAATTTCAATGAGAGAAAGATTTATACAGTTGGAGAATTATTCCGAAGTTTGGGGTTTTTTGTATAATGTCGATAGTTTGCAAAAAAGAGAAGAAATTCTAAAATCATGTTTAGCTCTTCAAAGTAAACTTACCGTAAATCTAAAATCGGACATTAATGGTATTCTCCTTTGCGATGAACTGATGAGCATTAAACCTTTTCTTTCTGAAATGGTCAAGGATAAAATTACTCCTATTATTGTTTTAAATTTTATAAAACAGCACAAAATGCAAGATTTGTATCCAAACACATGGATTGCAATGCGAATTTTGCTAACAATACCTGTCACTGTAGCGAGTGGAGAAAGAAGTTTTTCCAAAGTGAAACTAATAAAAACCTATCTGCGGTCAACAATGTCGCAGGATAGACTTTCAATTTTAGGAACCCTATCGATGGAAAAGAATATTGCTGAAAATCTTGATTTTTCAACCCTAATCAAAGATTTTGGTGATAAGAAGGCTCGTAAGATTAATTTAAAAATTTAAATGTATTTTATGTAAAACATAAACAAAAAATGTTTCTTTGTATGTAGCGTTTTATTGCAAAGTATTATTTTTGAATTCGATTTGTTATTATTTTCCATGTAATTTACCAGCACGTTTATAAAATTTTCAGGGGCGGCAGGATAAATTTCGCATGAGGGCGGCAAAAACGCTAAGGCCGGCACTATATATATATATATATATATATATATATATATATATATATATATATATATATATATATATATATATATATATATATATACAGGGCCTTTCAGAGGTTTGGAGAGGCCCCGGCCAGTTAAAAATCAGAAGCACACAGATGTGGCGCCTTTAGTACGTTTTATCAAGCCAACTAGCCAAGAGACGCGCTTGTCTACTAATAACGCATTTTTGGGGAGGCCTGGGAATTAAGAAGGTACGACGTATGAGTGTAATGTTACACTGTTACTTTATTGTGAGTGTTACAATTTAGATTTCACATATGAATGATTCATGCATAAATAATTTGTCACTATAAATGAATAATTAAATATGTCACATTTTGAAAAGGAAATCTAAAGAAATTCTCTAAAAGTAAAATAGAATGAATTACTTTTAATTATTTTTTACGAACGCTTTTCTTGCTTTTTGCTCTGAAAATACAGCAATTATATTTGAAAACTCTAGTTTTCGTGCAATATCGCAACTTATATTCAACATAGCAAGTCCATTCAACCGTTCCTGCCCCTAGTTGAACGATGATAATTTTTTATCTGCTTTAAAACATTAAATGTGCGTTCATCCGAAGCCGTCGATGCAGGCAAGCTGATAAAAATTCGTAACGCAATTGTAATGTTTGGAAAGACACCTGAAAGACCAAGTCTAAGTATTTCTTCCAGCAATTTTTTTGGTGTGCAGTCTAGTTTAAAATTAGCACCATAGATTCTTTTAAAAAATAAAATCTCATTTTCAAGTTCTTGTGATATTTCTTTTTCATATTTGTGCTGAAAGTGTTGAGCAGCCAATACAAGATCTTTGTCACTTAAATTTTTTAACTGCCAGAGAAATCCAAAAAGTTTACAAATTTCTTGTAAAGACTGAAATCGTCACGTGAGGTCAGATTTAATTGAGTTAATGATGACAAAATACACATTGATTTTATAATACAACTCAGCATTATCTTGACTTGGAAAACGACGATTAGTTAAAAACTCACATAAAACACCGATATTTCTTGCAACAAATTTTGACTCATTTAAAATCTTATCAAATTGTTCACGCAACCTTTGAATGTCATTACACCGATTTTCAATGTTATCCTTTCAAATATCAAGAGTGGCATGGCGTGCCTCGATGATTAGATTTGTCTGATGAATCATTGTGAGTAGCTTCATCCAGATAGACGACATCAAAATGCAATCAAATTTGGAAATATACTTTTGAATAGCATTGAGTTCCATTTTAGCCTGGGCTGTTAAATGTAGCACCCCAAGTTCATTTAAAGCACTTCTTACTGAGTTCAAATGTTGTGCAACAGGTTTAACACCATCAATCCGTGCTGACCATCTTGTTTTGGACATTCCATGCAACGAAACAGGAAGATATTGTTTTAAAATTTCCCACCTTTGAGGACTGCTACTGAATAAATTGTACATTTGCTGAATTGTTCCAAAATACGTTACTGCTTCTTTGCATGATTCAGCGCAATCGACACCAACTAAATTTAATGAGTGATTTCCGCAGCTAGAAAACATACAGTTTGGATTTTGTTGTATCAAAACCGCTTGCACCCCGTTATACTTTCCAGCCATATTAGCACCGTTGTTTTAAACTTGACCAATGCAGGTTTCGAAATCCAGCTTCAAAGTTTTCAATATTTTCAGTGTTCGAGCAGCGATTTCTCTTTCAGTTTTTTTTGAAAAATTTTCAAATAAGATAAATCTTTCTTCAACTGAAAAGTTTGAATTATCTAAAATTTTAACATAACGAATAACCAGAGGAGCATAGTTTGCTCGTACAAGGAGCATAGTTTGCTCCTTGTACGAGCAATCTGGAGTAGCATCAAAAAATTTTGCTTTCACAATTTCGTGGAGGATTGCTGTTTGAACGTGTGAACCATAAATATCAATAAATTCGCTCTGAATTCGCATTGAAAAATAATGAGCTTGCATTCGCTGCTTACACTGTTGTGATTCTCGAACATGTTTAACATGCTCAGCTAAAAGTGGGTCATATTTGCTAAAAAGCTCAATAATACCTAAAAAATTTCCATTCACTTGATCACCTATTCGTTGGTTAGAACCAAAAAGTGCTAATCCACGTTCAGAAAGAAAAATAATAACATCTAGAATACGTTGGAATAATTTTTTCCAATTTTCAGTTTCAGTCTTGAGTTCTGATAAAAGTAAATTATCCACTGAAGTTTCACACAGTGCTGCTCTACTAGCAGATTTCTATACAACATAGTTTTCTTTATGGTAAATTGAACTTTCGTGCGACGGAATACGATCTTTCAATCTTCTCCAACCTCTACTGGTGCCCCATCCGGCAGAACTAGAGAAAATGACACATTTGCAGCATTTTTGTTAAAAAGAAAACATGGTGCACAATACAAAGATTGTTTTTCAACACTCCAGCACAACCAGTCTCTTATGCATGTTTCTCCATTTGTAAGAGTTTTGTTTAAGAAATGATGATTAGAGTCTTTAACGATATTATTTGGAATTTCAAAACAAGTAATCTTAAGAAAAGAGTTCACTTAACAAGAATTTTTCTTGTTGATAATCCCAATGTCAATAAAATTGAACGGATTACCTTGATGAATCGGATCAGTTATTTCTGTTTCCATATCTCCAATTTTATTTTCACCTGCATTTTCCTGTAATGAGATTTCGGTTTCAACTTGTTCCTGGTTTATAATATTTAAATTTCCTGCTGGTTATTGTTCCAAAATTGGGTCTTCTGCAATTGGAACAACTATATTTTCAATGATATTTCAATATTGTCACTCACACTTTGAGTTTGGTTTGCTTGTTCAATTTGAACTGTGTTTTGTGATTTTTTTAAAAACGAATATATTTTCTTTGAGTTGGTGCAAGCTTCTTCGGCCAAATCTTTTCTCCGCCGCCTCTTACTTGCACTACTATCAAATCTTCTCTTCATCTTAATGGTATCTGGAAATAATATTGAAATTTGAAAATATAATAAATTTATACATCAATCGAACTGATACAAATTTATAAAACGAATTATATTTTAAAATTAAAAAATATTTACCAGAACAAAAAAATATTACTATTCTCAAAGTTACGAAATGTACAAAACGCAATGTACAAAAGCGCAATATATCAATTTTATACAAAATGATAAGAAACAGTTCAAGACAAAATGATTTAATCTTGTTTGATGAATTACAAGTAAAAAATTTAAGAAAAAATGAAGCTACTAAAAAGCAGAACACTAAGTCATAACTTAAAAACTCGTACGAGATAAAAAGTAGTTGTATCAATTTGATCAAGCGCGCCCGACGGAGGGTTAATTGCATCATTACATGACGTAATCTTTATCATGTCGAGTTTAGGTTTGGAAATGTGTAATTATGAAAAAGAAATTAATTTATTATTTTAAGTTAACCTAAAGTTAAATTGTTTAGAATAATTAGATTAAAATACTTTCATATTTGTTTTCGTGTTTAACAAATGTGTTTTGAAAATGTGAGGCCCCAACAAATTCGGAGGCCCAGGCCATATGGCCCATGTGGCTCCCTCTCTGAAAGGGCCTGTATATATATGTATATATATATATATATATATATATATATATATATATATATATATATATATATATATATATATATATATATATATATATACGTATATATATATATATATATATATATATATATATATATATATATATATATATATATATATATATATATATATATATTTATATATATATATATATATATATATATATATATATATATATATATATATATATATATATATATATATATATATATATAGTTATATATTTGCATTTTGCATTTTGATCGGAATTCAAACTCAGAATTCAATTCTACATAAGAAAAAGCCTATCTGCGAAGATATAGAACGTTTGCTTGTTTCTTTTCGATATAAATGCGGGGAAAACCCATTACTTTACGCCTTTTAGATTAGACAACATACCATTTGTAATAAAACATTGTTGTGTTGCATACTAATTGATAAATTCATAATATATACTTTATTAATTTTATTTAGTTTTTTGTCATTTACCAAAATGGTTTTAGTTAGAAATTTTTGTGTTAACTTGTTGTTGTGACTAATAACTTTAGATCAAATAAAATTCTTATTTTGTTATGTTACATTGTTGCTAAGTGGTGTTTATATGCAAGATCATCTTGCATATAAAGTCCACTTAACTTTCTATAAATGTTATATTGTTATAAATGTATTTTCTAAAATTGAATTAAATTGCAAGCACTTTTAGGAATTTGCTGTAGTAATAAACATCCTCAGGAGGTTCACTAATACTGAAAATTCCAGAAAATTCGGTCCTGGAAAATTCTTCATGATTATGCAAATATCTAAAAAGTTTCTAGAAAAGTCTTTAATAATGCTATAGATTCTTAGAGAATTGTTAACAAGGCCAAAAGTAGCAAGGCCACATGTTAGAAGGACAAGGCCAATACCAAGGTTAAAACTTACAAGACCAAAGACAAGGCCAAGGCCACATGTTTCAAAGCCAAGACCTACGCAAACAATTTCAAGACCAAAGACTTAAATTTTTGCCTTAAAGCCAATTATTAACAAAACTGTAGGTAGCAAGTGCTGTGACAATACACCACATGTTGTAAAATTATATCAAGGTTATGCGCAGACTTCAACAAAGTCAATAAAAAAGTATACTTGTAGATATATATGAAAGCCAAAAACAAAAATTCATAAAAATGAAATCTTTTAACTCTTTAATTTTATGTATTTTTTATGAAGGCCAAGGCCAAGACCAAAAGTTTTTAAAAGTTTAAAAGACCAAAAGTTTCTAAAAGGTCAAAAGTTTTTAGGACAAGACCAAGGCCTTAATTTTTGGCCTTAAGGCAAGGCCAAGAACTAACAACTCTAGGTTCTTATATTACAATACTGCATTAATAATTTCTTAAATTTTTGCAGTATTCCATAGTTAATTTTTAATATTTTGATGACCTAGAAAAGTTGTTTTGCAGAGTATATTGATTATTTTATGTTTTGATTATTTAAACTATGCATTTTGAATTTACTTGTGTTTACTTTTTTAAAATGTATATTAATAAAAGTGTTGATATGTTTCTGTTTCTTTATATTTATATAAATATACATTTATATATATATATATATATATATATATATATATATATATATATATATATATATATATATATATATATATATATATATATATATATATATATATATATATTTGTATGAATATATTAGTATATATAAGCAAAGTATAACAGATTTAGTTAACATAGTACAAACGTTCTACTTTTTTACAAATAATACAACAACAATTAATTATTATTGAATTGTTGTTATTTATCATCTTTCATTTTATTTGTTGCTACTTGTTTGGTTCACTATTTATCAAAAATGTATGTCAAGTAACTTGGTTCAATTTAAGAAGAATCACAGACCAATGTTTGGCATGATCCACCACAGTCTCTACCTATACTTATTAAAAGTTTCTGATATTGTTTAAAGAAATGATCATAATTCAAAAGTGATAGTTTTTGTGTTACAGAAAATTTAACATATCAAATGCAAAAGTTATGCTTGCAACACTTATTTATTACAACAAAACTCTTTAATATTTTTGAACAATTTAGTAAAAACTTAATAACTAACTAATAAATACTAAATAATTAATTTTGTGACAAAAGAGACAGAAACAGAAATACTTTACGGAAAGTATGTAATATATTCTACACTTAAGATTTTCAGTTTTGAAAAAATATGGCAGGAAAATGTGACGGTTCAACTTGTGGGTTTACATAGAAATACAAATTAACAGTACAAGTTACTTTGCAAGTTATGCTTATGTTTATTCTCAGAAAACTTTTGATATATGTAGAAAACTTTCAATATATATATATATATATATATATATATATATATATATATATATATATATATATATATATATATTATATATATATATATATATATATATATATATATATATATATATATAATACATATATATATATAATAACTAGTTTCAAGTTTAAGTTCAATTTTTGAATATGTCTATTTTCTTATGTGATACAAAATTGTCTTAAGTTTGTTTTGATATATAAGTTTTTTTCTCAATTTTACATTTCTTATTTGGGCGAGTTAGACTGTTTTTGATCATATCATTTTTTTATCTTGTTATAATAATATTATATTAAAAAGATTTATTTATATTTACATCTTTAACTACATGTAAATACAGTTTTTATATCTTAACTTATCAGATCATTAAGGACGAAGGAGTCTCACCGTGTTTAAATGCACAAATACTTTACTCTTGTAGCAAATAAATATTTTTAAAAATTAAATTCATAAATGTAAAAATATGTCAGTGGCGGGATAGCTCAGATGGTTATAGCGTTAAAGGAAAAGTGAAAACCCGGACTGTTGAACGATACGAGTTCAAATCCCGCCACCGCCAACTCAGCGCTTGAATAGTACTTCGGTACGCAAAAATGTTGGTCAATAACGGACGCTACTTTGGATTAGTCTTAATGACTATTTTTGGCTGTTCCTATTTTAAGCCAACAATATCTTCGGATATAAAAACATTGTATAGAAAAATATAGCATGAAAACTCAAATAAAAAAATAAAATAAAAAAAAATAAACAAATAAAATGTAAATTCATAAATGTAATTTTTTTTTTTTTTTCAGTCATATAAACCTTATCTACTTTAAAACATAAATATTTTCTGTCAACATACAAACTTAAATGTTAAAAAAAAGAGAAACTTTGATGTTATAGAAACGGTATTGTATAAACAAATTGTTAATGAAAATCTTGCATATAAAGTCCACTTAACTTTCTATAAATGTTATATTGTTATAAATGGGGATGACCCCTGGATTTTGAAAATAATCCTAAACGTTTCTAAAAACGAAATTTTTACATAAGATGACAAAAATAGTCAAAGTTGAATAAACTATAAATAATGCTAAATTAATTTAATGTGCTAATTAACAGTGCTGGATTTAGATGACATTTTTCTTTAGGCAATGCTTTCGGCATTTTTATACCCATTAGAATTATTTTTATATCTAGAATGATTTAAGGGTTTATTTCTTTCAAATCAAATTTAAAAAAACCCATTTTAAATTTAAATTGTACTTTTTTTAAATTTGTTAATGGGCAAAAAAAATCCAGCACTGTAAACTTTGCCATCAATATATTTTTTCAATATAACATAACATCAAAAGTATATTATGCGGGAAATCATTTAAGTTGTTATTTTGGGGTTATAAGGCAAACGGCATAGAATTCCCAAGCAGTTTTCCTCACAAATGTCTTAAGGTTCATCAAGTCTTTATATTTTGATTCTCCTCTCGAAATTCTGGATTGATAAGTGTCAATAAGTTCAATTGACGTTATAATGTTAAGATTTTGCGGAAGAGGTTTGTAATCTTCAGTGGAAGAGTGACTTAATTTATAAAATATTTTTGGCTCTGGAGTGTATTTCAGACATCTTATGTTTGTAACTGTTGCATCACCCTTTTTACAACCTGGTCTGATTTCTGTATAATATTTAATATTGAAAAAAGTTTTAAAAAAATCATGTTTGAGAAACTTCACTTTAAACTTTGGAAAAGAAACTTTTGCATTTTCAATGAAAGCAATGTAATCACTAGGCTCGTGAATTTCTCTACCTCTCAGATTTCTTTCAATAGTAGCGTGTACACTGTCTCCTTCCATATGGGTATGTCCTTTTTCCAAATAGTTCTGTTCAATTATTAAATTATTTTGAAAAGAAAATAAAAGAAGTGAATTTGCTATAGCAGTACAACGATTTTGATATGTACAGCCGTCAGAATATATTGTCACTTTATTTAAGTTTGGATTTTTTTCTTTATAATCTAATAAGTGATAAAATAATATCGAAGCAAACACATCACTTTTCAGCCCCCCTTCGGTTTCATCCCATAAATAATTGGTTGCTTCTTTTGTGTGAAGGTTATAGATAGTTTGATTATGAATTTTGATCTTTTTTTTAAAATACAAAGCACCGGCAGATAAAACTGGGCATAAAAGAGTTTGCTGGCAGTCCATTGTTAAAACTAATTCTTTAAGAGCAACGTTTTTTTTTATCGAAATCTTTACTACTTTGAACTTGCGTTTTTAATTCAATTCAATTCAATTCAATATATTCTGAAATAAGTTGTAAAATTTCAAGGACTTTTACAAATAGTACAAGTACTAATCTAAAGTAAAAACCTGCAACATTACAATAAAAGTGATAATAATAACAATAATAATAGTATTGATAATAATTGTAGAAATAATATTAACAATAATAATAAGATGACGATGAAAAGGAATATTATTAGTAATAATACTAACAATAATAATAAAGATATTATACAATCAATATTAGATAATAGCAATAATAGTGGTAATAACAATTACATAGTATAAGTAGTAAATAAACTTAAGAAAAAATTAAAAAAGCAATAATAATACTTATTATGTTATAAATAAAAATAACAATTTACTATAAAGATAGAAGAATATTATTAATATCAATACTAATAATAACAATAAAAATATGAAAAAAAAAAGTTAATAATAAAACTAGTAGGTATCAAGAAAGTAGTAATAATAAAAGCGTAACAACATATTTCAGAGTCTTCAGGTATAATATCTTGCTAAAAAATAGTTAAAAAGACAGTTTTTGAAATTAGTAATAGAGTCAATTGATTTTAATGGTGAAGGTAGACTGTTCCATGATTTTACACTTTGGTATTTTATGGATTTTAGACCATACTTTACAGAAGAATGATTTGGCACATGAAGATTATAGCTATTAGCAGATCGTAGATGATAGCGACAGCTTTCTCTAACAGTAAAAAAATTTGTAAATGTGCTGGGTAGACATTTTTGTTTATAATTAAAGACAAAATGGCAATTTAGTAGTTGAACTAGATCATCAATTTTGAGTATTTTGGATAAAAAATAAAGATGATCGGAGATTAATAATGCTGAAAATATATTATTTTTAATGCTTTGTTTTGTAAGTTGGATAATCTTAAAATTTCTTGGGTGCGGATTTGTCCCCAAACTTGACACGCATACCTAAGATGTGATCCAAAAATGGCATGGTATATTGATAAGAGTTTCAAGATTGACATAATGAAGAATTTTAGCTAACATCCCATTCGATCTACATAGTTTTATTGACAAGTCCTTAAGATGTCGAAAAAAAGTTAAATTTGAGTCAATTTTGATTCCAAGATACTTTAGGTACATAACTGGATTGATTTTTTGACCACTCAGCCTAAAATTTAGGTGTTTACTGATTTTAGATTGTTTTGATTTAAAGATGATAATTTCAGTTTTACTAGTATTCAGAGACAGTTTGTTAGATCGAAGCCATTGAATTAGATTATATAGATCATGATTAACATATTTGTTTATTTTTTTTAATGATTTATTAATTAAAAGTAAGTTAGTGTCATCAGCAAAATGGTAGGAAGTTGTATGTTTTAATGATAAATTAAGGTCATTAATGAAAACAAGGAAAAGCAATGGCCCTAATACAGAGCCTTGAGGTACACCTGTAGTGCATTTTACTAAAGAAGATGTGTTACCGTTAATAGATACAAATTGAAACCTCTTATAAAGATATGAGGTAAACCATTGGAGAGAAATTCCTCTAACACCATAGTATTCCAGTTTACTTAGAAGAATAGAATGATCAACAGTGTCAAATGCTTTCTGTAGATCAACAAACACACCACAAGCAAAAAGCTTATTGTCAAGAGCTTTTCTGGTAACCTCAGTGATTTCAATAAGTGCATGCGTTGTGGAATGCTTGCTTCGAAACCCATATTGGTGTTTGTAAAGACATTGATATTTATCTAAAAAGTTGTAAAGTCTGTTGTGCATAGCTTTTTCAAATATTTTACTGATGTTTGACAGTAGCGAAATTGGGCGATAGTTAGTGTGGTCAGTTCTAGAGCCATTTTTATAAAGTGGAATAACTTTAGCTATTTTAAAGACATCTGGAAAAAGTCCATTTTCAAAAGAGCTATTTATCATTGTACAGAGAGGCTTTGAGATAATATGGGAAACAAGTTTGAGAAGAAACGTGGGAATACTATTGATACCTAAACTTTTTTTACTTTGTAAACTTTTTATAAGATTTGATACTTCATTTTCAGTGACTGGATTTATAAAAAAGGAGTTAATATTTGGGTTATTTAAATAGTCTGAAAAATTACATTTAGGTGAAACAATTTTTGTTAACAGTGTTTGTTAAGTATTTACAAAGTAATTATTAAATATGTTTGAAACAGCTTTGCTGTCTGAAATTGTATTGCCATTAAATTTGAGATTAATAGATTTACTCGAAAAGGGAGAAGATTAGATATTAATAATTTCTTTTATACCTTTCCAATATTTTTTACATTGTAAAGATTATTGTTAAAAAAGTTGATGTAATTGATTTTTTAGAAAGTTTTAGTAAATTGCAAATGTTATTTCTGTACCATTTAAATTTATTAAAAATATGAATTTTAATGTTACGATTTTTTGCTTTTATATATTGTTTATATAGTTTGTTTTTAATAGATATTGATTTTAGAATTCCATTGGTGATCCAAGGTTTTGATCTAAGTTTTATTTGTTTAGCAGTTAGTTTTTTATAGGGTGCATGTTGATCAAGAATTTTGTTAAAAGTTTTAAAAAAATAGTGCAATGATTCATTTACATTATTGTTATTTGTAATTTGTATTTGCCAGTCTGCATTAGAGATATCCTTAATAAATTTTTTATTATCGAAATTTTGGAAGGTTCGTCTGAATATTACCTCCTTAGTTTTTTTGGGAGAAAGACAAGGAATGCAGATAAACTGTGCCATATGATCAGAAATCGATATTGTAAGATTGCCTGAAATTAAATCAGGAGTTTGGAAATTTAAAAAGATATTATCAATGAGTGTCTTAGATGTAGCAGTTATACGTGTAGGTTGAATTATAGAAGGGAAAAAAGAATAAGAACATAATGTATTAAGATAACTTGAGATAACTTTCGATTCATTATAATTTAACAAGTCCATATTGAAATCACCCATAAGGACAACTTGTTTATTTTCTAAACTAAGCCTCTCAAGCAAGGGATTAAAATGATCAGTAATGAATTCATTAGAGTTCATTGATGGATGTCGATATATAGTGCCAACAATAATATTTTGTTTTAGGGGATTGACGATTTCAACAAAGATAGATTCCAGGTATTTCGGAGAGTATACTATTAGATCACTACGAATAAAATAGTTTAAGTTTGAGCGTAAATATAGAAGAGCACCACCTTTTTTGGCCTCAGTAGGACTATGCTCAATAGTAGAACCATTTATATTAACATCAGTTTTACTGGAATTGTTGATATTTAGTCTTGATTCAGAGATACCAATTACTATTGGAAGAGTGGTAAGAGAGCTTATTAGACTGTGAAGACTGTCAATGTGATAAGGGAGCGAAGCAATGTTTAGATGTAGGTATAAATTACAATTATTATTAAGAACTTTATTAAGTTCAAGAATGTCATAATATTTACAGTTAATACTTTTGTTGGAGATTTTGTATATATTATTGAATAATTTTTTGAAGTGAGGGGGAGATTTTAGAGATTTTAAATTATTGGTTGGTATAGTCTGAGACGATAAAGTTAAAGAGAGCTCAAAATCAGAAAGTGAACAAAATGGCAAATTTTTGTTGATGCAGTCACTGCAATACCAGTCAGTAGAATCTTTTTCAATAAAGCTATAGGTGTGTTTGTTAATATAATTACATTTAGGGTGCAACGAAGAAGAGCAGTAGTTACATAGAATTCCTTTATGGCTATCAACCACTGTTTTATTGCAGAATTTACAAAGATTTCTTATTAACATGACTTATTATGCTTAAACAAAGTATAGAGAAGAAATAATTAAATAAAGATATCTACTATATATTTATAAAGAAACTGAGAGATTAAAGCTAAGAAATGTTAATCTAGAAATGGTTACTGTTTTAAATATTGAGGAATGATCAGTTATAAAGAAATGATAGTAAGATATAAGAGATTTAAATACTTTACACAGGAGAATAAGTATTACAGCTAGATAAAATTAGAATATTATTAACTTGATTTAGAATATAAATTTAGATATATTAATACCTCTAGTAGCTTTAGACATAGTATAATATAAATAATATATGTTATTTAAATAATTTGATGATAATAAGGTAAGTAATAATAAGTAAAGAAGGAGATAAGTAGTAATATTAGGTAAATAACATTTATATAAGATAAATTATGATGTAAAATGTAATGAGAGGTAAATAATGGATAGATTTGGGATAAATAATGCTATATTATTTAATAATAATGATAAATATTTAATTATAATAATAATAACAATGATAACTGCTGATAATAAAAATTAAAAAGTCAATAATAAAAATAAATCCTGGAAAATACTTAAATTTACAAATAATATTTAAAGCAAAAATAATCAAAACAAACGTAAAAAAACTCTTGATCTTTTTCTTTCATTAACTTGATTCTTTCTTTACTTTCTACAGATATATCAAAATTAGGTTTGTTTTGTTTTCCAGGTAACTTGTGGCGTACTTCACTATCATCACTTTCCGAATCAGAAGAAAGAACAGGCCTTTTTGCATTGCACTTTTTGCGTTCTTTTCCACTTGAGTTAAAACGTGACGGTGGTTGTGGTAAAGACACGCTCAGATCACTGTTTTCTTCAACTGCATTTTCGTCATTGCCACTATCAGCTGCTGTAGTGTAGTTGCAAGTCATGCATTCTTGCTTGACAGCTAGACAAATCATTCAGAAAAATCTTATATATACATATATTAGATTTTTCTGAATGGTTTGTCTAGCTGTCAAATATATATATATATATATATATATATATATATATATATATATATATATATATATATATATATATATATATATATATATATATATATATATATATATATATATATATTTATATATATATATATATATGTATATATATATATATATATATATATATATATATATATACATATATATATATATATATATATATATATATATATATGTATATATATATATATATGTATATATATATATATATATATATATATGTATGTATATATATATGTATATATATGTATATATATATAAATGAAGACAGAAGAATGTATATCTATTATACAGATCAAGGCATCTCTTATGTTTGAACCCAATCCTAAGTATAAGTACTTTTTACCAAATAACTTATTAAATCTAGATTATATATTGAAAGATTATAAAAACTGAAAAGATATCTGGAACAATTGCAGAAGAAACAAAAACAAATATTTTGTTATTTTAAAGTACTTACAATGTGTTAATTTGATTTTCATAATGGAGTAGCGCCTCCAATCATCTTTTGGTACCATTTTTTTTGATGAGGCAAGGTCAGCTGAAAGACCTTTGGGTGGCCATCGAAGCACATCACCTTCAACCCAAACATGTGGAATTACATCTTCCATGAACTTACCATCCTCTTCCTACACAATAAGAGACCACACTTTTATATATGCTATAATACTATTTTATACAATACAAATGTAAATAAAAAACTAAAAAACTTTCCTTCATAAAAAAATTTAATTAAATTATTAAGTTGATGTATATAATAAAAATATGTATTTGTATAAAATGTTTTGAATTACAGCAGTAACAAAAATTAGAAGGAAAAAATTATTATCAAAAAGAAAAATTACTAACAAAAAGAAAAATTACTAACAAAAAGAAAAATTACTAACAAAAAGAAAAATTACTAACAAAAAGAAAAATTACTAACAAAAAGAAAAATTACAAACAAAAAGAAAAATTATTATCAAAAAGAAAATCTTCCTTTTTGTTGTTACTAACAAAAAGAAAAAATAAGCAAAAAACACAGCAAAATAAATCTTTCAAACAATAATTTCAAACAAGTATTATTAAAAAAATATTAAAATGTATCTCTAATTTAATTATTACTAAGTGTTTTGATATTTAGGCTTAAAAACATGTATATTTTTTATAAGAGGGATTTTTTAAATAAAAAAATTAGTTCACTTATTTATTCAAAATATTGTAATATATTCTTCGAGAAAAAAAAAATTCTGAAAAAGAAAAAAACAAAATATAAAAAAAGTTAAGAATTAAAAAAAGGGGGGAAAAAGGAAAAGTATTTTAAAAATCAATTTTTTTGAAACATTAAAATTCAACAAACAACAATATAATAAGTTTTCAAAATTCAACAAACAACAATATAATAAGTTTTTAAGACATGTGCAGTAGAGGATACAAAAACAAACTATTTTCGTTGGACCGTACAAATGTTTTGTTTTCTGAACAAAATATATTAAAAGCCTTTTTTCAAAATCATATAATGGTCTATAGATTTTTTATTTGAATTACAAAATATACAAATACCAATGTGCAGAAGAAGGAAATGTTCATAGTATTTTTTTGATAAAACCGATTTTAAAACCAACGGACCAGTGTACAATAAGAATGACCTAAATTCAGTTGCCTTCCAACGATCTAAATCACATAATGTACGTGGTTGTCGTGCGAAATCAGATGGCAAAGTTCCAGTGAGCTCTATTAATTTACTGTTGATTGTTTGAATTTGCACATTCGACAACTTACAAATGCGAGGACCTCCTTTCAGAAATGTCAATAATCTTTTTACAACGCCAAGAAATACTAGGTGCATAGAATCTAAGGTGAATAGATAAATTGATGTAAACATGGGAATTAACGGCGATTGCCCATTTTGATGAACCCCTGCATACGCAAATTCCTTAAAATCTGCAATTGTTCGAGGATTCACTAAATTTGTTCTGTTAAAAATAACTCTATGTTGAACATATGTTCCTTCAATCTGACAACGTTCACAAGAATTGTAACCTGTGTGGCTGATGATGCACTTCAAGAATGAACGAGCAGTTGCATCACAAATAAAATTTTTTAAAGAAAGAGAAAAACGTTTTTCATTTACAATAATCGCTCCAGATAAATTTTGAAATTCTGAAATAAATTCACTAAGAAAATCATGCACATTATCTGGTTTATTTTTACCTAAAAACAAGAAAATTATAAAAACATCAAGACATCCAAAATATCCCAATATCGGCCAAAAAGAAATTCCAGTGGACTTAAAAGTGGTAAATCATCTACATTTATGTATAAATCAATGGTATTGTTATTTTTAAAATAATCTGCATTTGCAAGTAAGTACTTTTTAATGCCTTCTTGTAAACCAAAATGTAAGAAGGTGCCTCCACATTTTTCAACTTCATGGGTTGTTCTTGGAGTTTTCATCAAAGTCCTTGAATCTTTTGGCAATGATAGGTGCCCATTCTTTATTAATAGTTTCAGCAAACCATCTACAAATTCACGAGAGCAGTTATTTCTACTGATGAGTCTACTTAATTTTATCTGAAAATCATTTGTATCTAGAATACCACCATCAGAGGCATCTGATGAAGACAACACAGCTTCATTATATCCAAAGTCATTGCTATAATCACAGCTAAACTGTTCAGCACTACTTTGGAATAATGCATTGCAGATTGATACTCATTTGAATTTGAATCATTAACATCAACTTCAACATTGTCATTCACAAAATCATGGTCTTTTTTTCTGCTACGATATTTTCTTATATAAGATCTCATGTATAGTTTATTGTAATCCTGGCGCCTTGGCATAATATTTTTTTTAATGATTATAAATTCTGGAAAATTGCTAAAACACCTTTAAGAATAATTTAAAATTTTATTACAACTTTAAAAATACATTAGGTAGGGGGTTGTTCAAAAAGTATATCACGCTTTTTTTGCTAACAATCTTAAGTTATTGAAAATGTATATTTGAATTACAGCGACTTAAATATGACATTTTTTACACACAAAATATTCAAAAGAAATACGTCACTGCGTTTTAAAACTTAAATAAAATAAAAATATGGCATTACACATAAATATAAGAAGTGTTACAAAAATACTTCCTTATTTTAATTACTAAATAGGTAGTAACAAGGTTCGCATTCAAAAATAATTTATGTGATGTCACATTTATTGTAACCCCATCACTCTCCTTTGTTACAAACTGCCACAAATGCACAGTGGGCCAGGTGGTAGACAAAACCTCGAAAAAAAATATCAAAATACTTCCAACTACTTAGTACATTATATTTATTAGAGCATAATGTATGGTTTAAAACATTATTTGTAGTTTGATTGTACATCATAAATGTACAATTATTATTTACAATTGAATATAATGATTAATTAATTTTTTTTTTTAATATACCATAACAACATAACTATAACAACAAATAACTTTTAAATTATTTAACATATGCGAAATTGACATATTATTAAAATTTAATTTGATAGCTTTTCAAAAAATACCATAACAAATTCCAAGGTCTTGTATTAAAGTCACAGTTTTATTTTGAAATATAAAGGTAAGATTCTTGTTTATAGTATAAAAATATTATGTTAAAAGTGGCTCATATAGTTTAGAACCTGCTGGAACAGCATATTAATGTTAGAATAAGTTAATACAATATATGTACAGCCTGTTGGTGCTGTTTTATTCTGCTCATAGCTGCCCCTTTAGGTTTGGTAAACATTATATTGTTGTAAAATGCTATTTGCGACAAACCTATTTTTTGGTTTGTTGTCATTATTAGGTGTTGTGCTTATTGTACTAGCCTAATTAAATATATCTGAAATAAAAATAATGGCCATATTCATGTTATATTAGTTTATAGTGGTTGCACTAATAATTTTAAATTAATTTTTTTGTAGTTGATATGAAGATAAGTGATGTCCATAACCGTATACGACATGACCAACTAAATCCGAGTGATAAATCATTTTCTTTGTCTGTAGAAGCTATTTTAGTCTCTATGAATTTGGGTTCTACTGGGTGTGCAGCATTTTTAAAAGTTTATCAAAAGAAATGGAAGGATGCAAACCGAGGAAACATAAAGTTTGAGAGTAAAAATAAAAATTGGTTGACTCAGGACTTTAAATCTACATACAGTAATAATATATCTAAGCCTGATAATTCTAGTCAACTACATAAGATTGGTGGAAGATCAAGTTGTTCCTTTAAAGATGCTTCTGAAAAAACCAAAAGGAGAAGACTTAATGATATTATAAATAATTTTTCTAGTGATGAGTTGCTCCACTCAGCAAGGTTTAAATTAAGAAATGAGTATAATTATGAGGCTGCCAAGCAAGTTGCTGAGATATCAGAACCTTCTAGTCAATTTAAAAAGTATACACCTAATGAAGATCTGGAATTAATTATAGATGGTGGCATGTCAAAATCAACCTACCAACTTATGAGAAATGGAGCTGAAGAACGTGACTGCCATATATATCCTTCATACAACAACATAAGATTGTCCAAAGCTAAGTGCTATCCAGAGAACATCTTTGTTGATGATTATTCAGCACATGTACCACTACAAGAATTATTTAAACATACAGTAAAAATACTTTGTGCGGTGCAAGCTCCTGTGATCAGCACAATGCTAGATGGTTTGACCCGGTTGACTTTGCGTTGCAAGGCTGGGTTTGATGTGGCTACTGGGCAAAGCATGTACAAGCAAATTAGTAGTGAGGAAGCTATGTTCATTACCTGCTTAGCACCACTAGAACTCAGTGAGTTCTGTAATAACAAAAAAGTACCATTATGGCGAAATGAAAAGCCATCATCTACTGTATATTGTCGTCCAATAAGATTTTCTTTTCAAAATGAAAGCAAAGCAGTTGTTATAGAAAAAGCAAAATATTTAGAATCTGAAATCAAAAAATGTGGTGTTTTTAATTTTACTTTTAATGGAAAGGAACTGGTTGTCAAAAGTATTATTGAACTGACCATGATTGATGGCAAAATTCAAACTATTCTGTCTCATGTGACTAACTCAAATCAATGTTGCTCTGTGTGTGGTGTGTCTCCAAAAAAACATGAATAACTTAGAAATGGTGCTGAAATTGGACAATTCTAATAATTCAGAATTGAAATATGGTCTTTCTAGCCTGCATGCCTGGATTAGGTTTTTTGAGATGGTATTGCATATTGGATATAAACTAGAAACTCAAAAGTGGCAGTCTAGAGCTATAGAAGATAAGGAAAATGTTATGCAAGTGAAGAAACGTATACAGACAGAATTTATGAACCAAATGGGACTAGTTGTGGATTTCCCAAAAAGTGGAGGATCTGGTAAGTGAAATTACATAAATACTTTTATATAAATCATCAGGTTAACCATCACATATATACAATTTGTAGGTACCAGTAATGATGGTAATACTGCCCGACAAGCCTTTGCAAACTATCAATCAACTGCCAAAATTTTGAAAGTAGATGAAACTCTTTTATTTTATTTTTACATCATACTAGTCACTTTATCATCTGGATTTGAAATTGACACTGTCCAATTTAAAGAGTTCTGTATTACTGCTCTTAAACTTTACATATCTAAGTATTCCTGGTATTACATGGCACAATCAGTACACAAAATTTTAGTTCATGGCCATGCCATCATTGCTAGACAGTACTTGCCAATTGGACTGAT